TCTTTTTTTGTTTTTTTATTCACGTTTGTTGTGCGCTTCGATTACGCGTTTTGATCGCGTATGGATTAATTTTCATTCCGCTTTCATTCCAATAATATAGCGAAACGCATGATACGATATTTCCCGCTGACCTGATTACGGAAAATGCGCGAGTTTACGTTATCCGCTAGATTACCTCGTGATCAATCTTTTTTTTTTTTTATTAATCGCATTTTTTTTTGCAATGGAAATAAGCGGAAATTGGATGCACGAGTATGATAGGAGACCTATCGCGTTACTCGCGTGAGAGGCGAGTGTAAAATCCAAAATACGTATCTATTATGCAATATCGTGTGTATTAAATGTAATTTAACATATCTAGATACATGATGACGCATATCTATGCACCGTCTATGCAGAATGTCCGACGCAAGTCGCACCAACGCTCGTATGAATGTGGTACGCATTAAACTGAGCAACAGGGCCGCTACTATTTTGCAGACGACCACGTAAAACTTTGAGTTATTAACGAAAGAAGGTCGACGAACTGGCGCGCGCTGTAGATGTATATATACATATCGCATTTTACAATCGTCTCGTCGCCGCGTTATTAACGCGAACGCATGCGTAGACGGGAACCGAGAACTGCTGTATACGCGCTGTTCATAGGATCGTAACGTTCGAGAGCGCACTTTCCCAAAGTATCCCTCGAGGGAGAAACCATTTAAAATTCCAGCCCCGGCCGTGCTGAGCCCAGAGCAAAATTAGCGGTGATAACGTAAAATAGATAACAAGCGAAGGGAAGGTGCAACTTCGCGAAACTTAGCTCATACGACGAGTATTCCGCGAGACGAAGTTGCGAGATCTAGCCCTTTCCAGGACGTTCGAACAAATCTAGCGCTGCGGGGATTCGAGGCGCCATCTCTCTCTATCTCTCTCAGCGGGAGTTTACCTGCTTCTTTTTCCAAATTATCGGAATTCCCACGTGAACTCGCGTATTTCATCTTTGATGCGTGATGCACGCCGGGGCACAGTGACGGGCGGATGTAGGCGGAAATTTAGTTCCACCTCCTCCTCCTAGAGAGAGGGGAGCCCCACGCACGGAGGGAAAGGAGTTTATCCTGTGACACGAGGTGACAAATCCTCTTAACCGTCTTACCGCTTTACATTGTGTGAATCGTGCGTGTATGCGTGGGAAAGAACCGACGCGAGGTGGCTCCGTAGTTCGAGACCTTTGAAACGACGAGACGTGCTTCCTCACGCTTTCAGCGCTAAAATAATAACGAAGTAACGAGGTTGTTGAAGCATCGACGATTCAATTGGATTATAATCGAGAGGCTATGATAGTAGCACGGAGAACGTTTTGAAAATCAATGAAATTGTCGAAGCTGTCATATATATAGACAAGAAATAATTAAACAAGCCAAGACATGAAAGCCAACGCTAGGTATCAGTTGCGAGTATTTAATTAATATATTGTTTGATCCTTTCTTGATTAGAAATATTATAGTCTCTATCATCGCGAATAAGAAGAGAGTTTGTTACCAGCATTGTATGTTAGGTATACCCCTAAGTGATCAAGTATTTCAACGTAAAACATACTGAAAAGTCTATAGCAAAGTTTTCAATTTTTAAGCTCGATTACTTATGGGTAACCCCTGTTGTAAGCAGAGATCGTAATGACGAACGATCGAACAACTCGATTTGCTGTACGGAAGATATCACGATATCACCTGCTTTCTCTCGACTATGATTACAACATGATAACGAGTTCTCTAATCGTGCGCGCGCGCGCGCGCGCGTGCGGTCGGCTCTATTATAATCAAAGGTTCATCACGTCGCGTTCATGTCGCGTCGCCGACTACGTGATGCCAGAAATTCGTTACAACACGTTACTCGCTACGTTCCTTTGAGCCCGTCAACGTACTTCGCTTAGCACCCGCTTTCACTTTCTGCCAGCGACGTGCTCAGATACAGATCGCGGTCTGTTGACATCCATTGATCATGACATGAATAATGAATGGATACACCGCCTGAATAATGCATGCATCAACGTCGAACAACATCCACTCGATAGCAGTGTATAACTAGTCGGGTGTACTATTGGGAACGTTGATGAACAGAGGCAAAGCGCTATTGGCCGGCGTCATGATATCGCCACATGACTATAGATCAATACGTTTTCCTTTGCACTTTGCGCGGTGGCCTAATGTCAGATCCTGCGCTCATTAAAAGTGTTCTCGATTGAATCAGCAAAAGAAATATTTCCTCGATTTTCTTGTGAAAACTTTCTCACTTTACCGCTCTCTCTCTCTCTCTCTCTCTCTCTCTCTCTCTCTCTCTCTCTCTCTCTCTCTCTCTCTCTCTCTCTCTCTCTCTCTCTCTCTCTCTCTCTCTCTCTCTCTCTCTCTCTCTCTCTCTCTCTCTCTCTCTCTCTCTCCCTCTCTCTCTCTCTCTCTCTCTTACATTTTATTTTGACTTGTTGAACTGGTGGAAGTGGAAATAAGATTTTGCTCGTTACAAGTAATATTTTACTGCAGTCTCTCAATGCTACATTAGAAAAGCCAATAAAAGCCTACGCAAGATGTCGATTGCAAAATCCATTAAATGCACGAATAGAATAAGAAATAGGATATCGTAACGACACCTCAAAGAACTAACCGAACATTTCAGTCGTCATTCCAATCCTTCTCAGAAAGATTCGGAATCCTCGAAAGATTCAGAAAAAAATTGATGCAGTTCAGAAAAATATTATTGTAATTATATTTAGCTATTGATTCACCAGCCATGTAAAATATTAGAAGTAGATGGGCACCTCATACGTCCGTGGTGTTTGGACAATTTGTTTGATATTTTATCGTACAATCTGTAGCATACAATTTCGCTATGCACTGTACTAAATCAAAATTTTCCCGTTTGTGGCGATGAAATAAACGATCTGTCTGCGATAACACTATCTGTGTTTGCAAACTGTGTTCGCAAATATCAAGAATAGGAAACAGCTCCGTTGGTAATAACCAATCCTTTCGACGAGATTTTACTAATCGTGCTGTACTTTATAACTGAATCACCGCCGGCTATAAGTCTGCATTTCAATAAAGAGTATACTAATTATGTACTTTAGAGAGCGATAACGATAAACACATGATCTCGTGACTTGAAAAATTTTGGTTTCCGTCGTTTTTCGTAATTTTCGCACGGATTTAACGTTCCTTAATTCGCGTGGTCTCGTCATATTCCGTAATACATAAAGCGTATAAAGTAAAGTAACACAAGTCGATGATCGAATCGATATTGAGGATTTCTTGGACTGTTCAATTTGATAGCAACTAAATTCGTCGTATGACAATTTATTGACACCGTGTCGATGTTTAGATGATTTAGATTTGATATCTAGAAGATATCATATAAGTGGCGACAGATTACTGATGATCTAGTTATTCATATTCAAATCAAATCGATATATGGATATATCGAATCAACCCGAATATGACATACGCTGAATAATGAGTGGATCGTCGGCCTCTACATAATATCTTTCAGATATCGCGGTAAAATCTTCGTAACAGCAAATCGATCTCGGTCAATTTCCACACAATTTCAACTTGATCTCGACATAATCTCGACCGAATCCTTTGTCGCTTTATGAACCTGGATATGATTTCGGGAAAGCACAAGACGAAAGTAAATGTACGAGAATCAAGAAAGCTTAATTATGACTTAACACACAGAAACGAAGAAGTTCGCATTTTCACCTCGTGCTACGGCTACAGCCACGCTCATTAAGCGCCGTGTAAACGCGACAGAGTCGGTCTCAAGAAACATGGAGATTAACGCGCTGAGCAACGTCGCGAGCACAAAGGTTCGAAAGAATGAAATTTACGTTTCAGTCTCTCGCGCCGAGCAACGAAGTAACGTTAATGAAACAGCCAGCCTAGAAGTGCCTCGTGGCATGCAAACAAGTTGGGCCGTCGGTCACCCTCAACTGCTGGTTGCTACAGAGGGATTGCGGAACTCGCGGCTGCAGGATGAGAAGGCGGGTGCCGGCAAGAGCTTTTAGTTGTGTTAGCTAGTTGCAGCTATTTGCGGCTCATCACGACCATAATTAGTTTTCCTCGTGAAGTCTCGGTCGACCAAGCTCGATAGGCAGTTTTAGGTGCGAGCGACTGAGCGTGCGGAACCTGCCGCCTTCGCGGCCGCCTCCGCCGCCGCCGCCGCCATTGCCGCTGCTCGGAAAGTGCCCCTCGCAACGATGTTCTTGTCACGGCTTTATCGAATTCCGGCGCCGCGCTAACTCGATCAAGCACCAGCCTTCAGAATATTTACTTTGTGATAAAGCGTGCGATAGGGCGACGAAGCGAGCAACTAATTTTGTCTGTTGTTCTGCCCGTAAAGGGAGGTCAGAAAATTTAGCCACCCTTTGAATTCGGGCGGATAACAACGCGCGCTTTCTTTTCCCGAAATTCAGCTTGGCACGGGAGTATATGCGACACCGAATACAATACATTCTGTTAATGGGAGTACACCTGCGTCTCTTTGTCCTAGTTGAGAGACCGAGAGAGAGAGAGAGAGAGAGAGAGAGATTTACTATCTTGGAAAAACTAGCCAATTAAATGATGGAGATTTCGTGTAATTACAATAATTAATTATATACAGGTCGCTGTATAATTACATTACATCTTAATTAATCTGCCTAACATTGTAGTTAATGAAACGTGGCTGGGTGCGCAGCATTATAGCAATATGCGATAAATAACGGTAACGATAATGGCTGAACTCGTAGTTAAAATGCATTCTCGCGGAGAGTCACGCGACAGTTCCTCCGGAAATATTAAGAAAAAAAGCGGGGCACGTTAAGAATGCCGAGACGACGACGAAAAAGGTGGAAGCAAGGCGATAAGACTCTGTGCGCGCGTTAGAAAGAGCGTAAGGCGCTTGGTGAAAAACGAAATCACGGTAACTTCGTTTAACGGCGAGCACGTCAGAGGGACCGACGCCATTATACCGTGTCGTTGTTACAGGTTCTGTGAACGAAGCTGGTGTTTTTGCGCTGCGGGGTAGGCAAGAGGGTAATCGGCGTTCCAGAAGGACCACCACTAGCACAACGAGCACAACGACGTCCGGCTCGACGTTGATACCTCTGCCCGACGAAATGGCGCAGCCCGCGGCCCTTTTGGCCCCCGAAGAGGAGTCATGGTCTACCAGTTCTTCCACTACGACCAATGTTCCGTTACCCTCAGACACGGTCGCTACGTCGTCCAACCCGCCTCTGGAGTTCGTAGTGAAACCTCACAGCAAGGTCATCTTACCTTGCGAACTGGAAGGAAATTACTCGAGATTACTACTACCAGGAACGAGGTGAGTCTAGCGTGCAAGGACAATCAATCGACTTGTAGCGATTACGAGGAATCGTTGATTAATACACATGAATCTTGACGCAGCAACCGTATAAAATATAATCAAGCATATGATATATTTAAAGTATATCATTTTCGGTGAAAATATTTAAAGTGTAATATATCTTAGTACGTCGACATATATACAGTGACATCCCCACAACATAAAATCTCTCCAACAAGGGGACTGTCAGAAGCCGTCCTTACCGATTTTCATAGGCTTTGGGGATGTGTGAAGCAATAAAAACTAATAAAACTACGTTTTTCCATGTAGTTATTTCGACACGTTTAAGATTTAGAATAATACTTCGAAAATAACGGGATATTTAAATTTTTTTTTTTTTTCGAATATCATCGAAACTACGAGAAAAATTTTCAACAAGATTTGAGTACATTATTATTATAAAACACTATAGAATTTTTGTATATAAAAAATATTTTCTCGTACATTTCATATCTCGTTTCGATGATATTTGTTGTTTTTAATCTCTCAACGTTGAGATATAATAATGCGTAAAAAATATGGATCAGCTTTTCCTCTTATTTATTCTTTTTGTTGCTCTGCAACATACAGTAGACTTTATTAAAATCGGTGGGAGGAGCATTTCCGAACAGTTCTCCCACAAATAGCACAGGATAAGGAGAGAGGGGGAGAGAGAGAGAGAGAGAGATAGAGAGAGAGAGAGAGAGAGAGAGAGAGAGAGAGAGAGAGAGAGAGAGAGCGCAGCACAAGGTGCTTCGTTGCCCGAAGATCGGGCATGACAAAGTTCGTTGAGTGAACTAATAATGCAAACTCTGCGTCCTGTCAGAAGTTACAGAATACGACCGGCGACGTGGTTGCACGAGGGAAGTCCGGTAGATATGATCACGATAGACACGAGAACGGAAATGAGCGGAACCGGGCACAGATACATCGGCGACTCCACGACCGCGGCGTTACACATAGACAACGTCAGATTAGAGGATGACGGTGTGTGGGGCTGCAGGTTGGAAGACGACCGGGGAAAGATCCTCTTCGGCAGGCCGGTGAAGCTGGTCGTGCTCGGTGAGTAGCTCGCAATCTTCTTCGACGTTTAATCCTTTGAAGTTGGGTTTCCTATTAACCTAAAAAATTAAAGCCGCGCTGTTCCGTGAGATATCTCCGGAAAATTTTATGTCGTTTATTTATCTCTTTTTTTCTTCTCTTCCGTTCCGCACTCTTGTTTATATTTACGCTTTAATAAAAATATAATCGATATCATCTCTCTCATACGCTTGCTTTAACCACTTCGTGACCGCATTTAATGCATTTGCATGAACTATTTGAATTATAGAACGCGTTATATTATTGACGAAAGAATTTTAAATGGCACGTATATCAGATATATTGGATCGATATTTAAAGAAAAATAAATATACATCGCGGATGAAAACGGATTTTTGGAATGTATTTGTTTAACTGACAGATGCCGAATGACTAATTTCCCTGCGTCTGATCACTGATACGTCAGTTCGCAAATTCGTGCGATCAATATTACTAAAATATTAGCCAACGTTCGAATTGACGGCTAAATTGATTGCGTTATTTACGTATTCATGCGTTATTTTTTTCACAATACGATTAGGATTCCGCTTTCGCGTACAGCAATTATAAAAAATTGCAGATTTTCTGGATATAACACATTTTTATGCACGGTCTCGAAAAAGCGAGATATGAACTTTTTGGGAAACGTGTTCCTACCTTGCATAAAGCCTTTCAATTTCGCACGAATAATTAAATTCTCGCAAAATTCCGACTGTCAAAATTTTTTTAGGAATGCGCAGGATACGTTTAGGAGCGATAACTTTCGAGGGGAAAATTTTTCCGTGTATAGTTCGAAGGGCAAGTTTTTTGCTCTATCCCGTATTTTCCACAGAATTCGCGTTTTGCATTTCATACTTAATTCTCTTCTAATAATTGCGAGCTCATAAATGCACCTTGATATTTCTGCGCTTGATTTGCGCGTATGCATTAAACGGTCGGAAAGGCCAGAGGAAGAGAGAAAGAACGTCTTATTCATATTGTACAAGAAAAGAGAGCACAAAGAAGTGTGCGCGCGCGAAGCTGACTCGACGAAATACGTCCACTCCCAGACACACCAGGGACAGTGAATCATGTCTTTCTCGTGGGTCGTCCTCCGCGAGTTCCCACTGACGACTCTTGCGCACGATGATGACCGTTCTCTTTGTCGAGATATTATACCCCTTCGAAAAATATTTCTCCTCCGACGGGGGCTGTTCATGCCGCGCTACTTCTTCCTACGCTACTTCTTCCTCGTCGTTTGCCCGTCGCTTGACACATCGCCGAGTAAAAATCAACCAATGTTGAAAGTACTCTCAAAAGGTCGGTATACGTAACGTATCTTACTGTAATTAAAAATTTTCTCTTCTCGTTACTTCCTCCTCCGCCCTTCACTCCGTCGCCCTCCCGCTAACCAAAGTCGGCCACTGCTGCTCGTCGTAGGCACAGCGGAGGTGCAGGTGCCGTCCTTCCCAAGAATTCCCGACACAAGTCGGTCGACCCGCGGATAAATCGCGGGAAGAGACGTTCTCCGAGCTGCCTGAGCTGCCGGTAATGGCAGGATTTATGCATATTAATACGCGCCACTTGGAGCCACCCGCGGTCGCAGCATCGCCGTGACATGAATATGCATTCGCCCTAAAAATTCGCATTTCGCTCGCTATTTTTTTTCCCTTCTCTCTTCGTCTTTTTCCTTTCTATTTTCCCCTCACCCTGCATCCCACATCCCGCCCAACCAGACTTCGATGCGTTGCGCTTGTTATTGCGGCGCGCGGTCGAGACGAGAAACAATCGCGCCGCCGCCGCGCCGGTTGACGCGCGCGTGACACTCTTCAGCGTCGTTTGAGAGGTCGAAGCCTCCTCCCTTCTCACTCCGTCCAAATGAACCTTCGCGCTATTTTGCTCCACTTCTGTTTCTAATATCAAACCGCCGCGTATACACGGAGAATATAGCAGCTAGCTTTTATCTCTCATGGCGAGCGGCACGTCCGCCCCGAGGGGTGTGCGCTCGACACGTGAACGGGGGTGCGGGTGGCAAGCATGGGCGTCGGTCGCGCGCTCTTCGCTTCAGGTTTTTGAGCGCTCTTCTCTCTGTACGTTGTCTGGTTAGCCTGGCTCACGGGGAGCGCTGTTTATTTTTCGGATCCGCACGCGTGCGCGCGCGCGCGCACGAGCAAACCTTTATTCCATGTTGCATCCACGGCTTTGCTTAGCGCAGCGTTTTTAAACGTTGACGTCGGCAATGATTATTTACCGCCCAAGAGGGATTTTTTATGTAATCGTCGTTTTTATGTAATTTATTAATTTACTTAAGCCACGAAATTTGCCAGATCAAACGTGAAACGGCGATTCGCTTTATAAAGTTCATCTTTTCTTACGCCTCAGTCTTGTTAGAGTGGATAACGCAAGACGATTATTGGTAGGTGATATTTATTTCTCGTCAAACAATCGATAAATGTACCTCGACTTCGGTATATATACGAGGTCGACTTATAAATATACCGACGAGATATTTTCGAAAGTTTGGTCCTACGTTAATCTTGCAAGTTTCATCGAGTTTAAAGTGAATGGAACCAATGGCTAATCTCGAGGTACTTGGAGAAAAACAGTTTGGTTGGATTAACGTGACGAATCAAAGATATTTGAAGTTGAAGGAAAGCCAGGATTTCTGATCATTGCAGAAACAGATTTTGTTTCATGAGAAATTGAAACATATTTCATTTGTACAAATAATTATTTATTGTCGTTCTTCCTTCACGTTGAGGCTTAAGTGACTTTAGAACTTTAGACTGTTATTTTAGAATTATTTAATATCTGAATATCAATATTCTATATCTGCGTTTAATCTTTACTCGTAATTTCAATAAAGAATGTATCAATTATGTAACTTGAATGAATTATGTGCGACAAGCTAATATTAAATAATTAATGTATGTAAATAATAATAATAAAATAAGCTTTAACTTTAAATAAAATGTTATGATAAGTAAATATCCCACACATTCACAAATAATCTAACGAAAATAATGAATAAATAAAATGAGCTTTCTTCTTTCATGATTTCTTTATCGTTACGTTTTATTGGCGTTGGAAACTTTGATGTGATTTAAAGATTCAATAGAAGTGAAAAATTAGAAAAGGGAATTATTATAGGCACTTACGATCAGCACTTGCGAAATTTACGATAGATCTAAAAATAGATAAATCTACTTCCACAAGCTTCTCGCAAGCGTTGATTTGAGCTTTTAAAAATTTTCTTGGATAACAAGCTTTAACTTGAATCTGCCAACACTTCCCATTTTTACTTATCCTTGTAATTGCACCGAAGCCTTACTGATTTGCACAACTACTAACTTTGCTTTAATTATTGTTTTCGCTCATGTTGAATATTCAATTGAATATTTCTATCAAAATTTTCAACAACCATGGAAAAAAGATAATAACGAAGAAATTATAGGGACGACAGTTCATTATTCCCTTCGTCCATTCGTCTCAAATACTTGCATATATTAATTATTAAATATTGTATCTGCAGTAACATAAATCATACTATTAATTGCGTAATGAGATTAAAAATAAATAAAAATAAACAAAAAAATAAACCAAATTTTATACGCAGTTGGAATATCGAAAAAATCTGATATCAAATAATTTCGCGAATTTCATTTTCGAAAAATATTTATAGCACACAACTTCGAGCCATTCTTCAAAGGCGCGGACCTTCTTTAAGCCTCGACATGAAGAAAACGGTAGCAAGAGTAAACATTTGTAGCACCGAGGTAGGACAATGGCCTGTGCTGTATCTCGAGATTCTCCATTGGTCCTTCGAGTTCGATAGAATTTGCAGGATTAATGTAGGAGCACAATTTCGACTCGGGATACAAGCAACGCAATATCGAGGAGTGGATTCCGATTGTTTCCGAATAAATCCCCGAGACGTAGCCAATTATTTTCGCCCGCTCTCGCCGAATTCGGCGCTCCGATTTATTTCGTGTATTTCAATGAAGTATACCGACTTCATAAATCTCCGGATATATCCTCTCTATTGTGCCTTCCGCGCAGCCGGTCGAGTAAATACGAAGGAAGAACGCTAAAAGTTGCCTGCCGCATGAAATATGGCACCGAAATCCGCGGCGGCGCACGATAAGACGTTGAGTACACTTAACGTCTACCTTGGAGAACGAACTCGAGAAAAACAAATCAACGTGTTCTAACTCGCGAGCGTGCGTCCGACACGCCAGCAACGTCGGCGAAGTAAGTAAGCTTTCATTGAAATGCAATGGCTTGTACTTCTTCCACACTTGCTTCTCTTGCACATTGCACATGTCATACGTGATTCTCGCGGATATCGCGAGAGACATCGATAACAGATGTGTCGTTTGCGAATTGCGTACTTGCGCTCGCGCGCTGTGTCATCCGATTGCGTCATGACGGGCATCAAGCACAGCGCAATTCGAAGTTGAAACTTCAATTCAACGCTATTCAATGACAACCATATGTTTGATTGTTCGCTTTGCGTGTTACAGTCACGCCGAATTAACAATACAGTCGACGACTGGCTGTCATGCGAAAGCAGCTAATAATACACAATTGCAGTACGAGGGGCTCTCTCGATGAGATAATAGATAATAATCATCCTGCGATGACCGGTGTGTTAATTTTGTGCCGTTTGAATGAGATCACGTAGCTATTGGGAGAAGTAGCTGTGAGAAGTATACAAAGTGTATTGTTTCGGGCTTTAGGGGTTCTCTATACCGAATTGTCCGAGTGCTTGGATCAATTCAGGACAAATTGAACGGCCGGCCGGCCGACCGGCCGGCCGTCCGTCACGACGTCGGACGTGTCGTCGTTGTGACGCTCTTGACAACGGTCGCGTATACGTTCGTGATTATCTCGTGTCCTTTGGTTATCGTTGCGCAATTGCCGCCACGTGTGCGTGTCGCCCGCGGCTACAGTATAAAACCGTGATTGAGAAATGTACAAATTCAGTCGGATAACACGAAAAT